ATTTTAGTCGCCTCTTACGACATGCATGAGCTGCAGTGGGACTATTCTGTCATTCCCGGACACCACACGGGTCTTTACATAGAGGCAAAAAATTGCATAAATATATTTTTTTAAGAAATTCAAAATTCTAGAAACGCTATCTATTAAATAATTATATGCGTATCTACAGTAATTTAAATAATAGAAATGCTCTTTTTCTGGCAATAGTGCGAGTCTAAATCATCTTCATAAATCTATATTCATTCACTCGGTGCATCCTATCAATGCGTAGGTTACATTCGATCATGATCGATAGTTGAAGTTTAGTTTAGTTTTTATTAACGTCGCACTAGAAGCAACACGAGAGCTATTGGCGACGGACCTCGTAATTTTGAACCACGGTCAAGTGACGAGGACGACACCTGAGCTGGCACCCCCCTCTCTGAACATCCACACCACGCCATCGGGAGGACTTTGGGCCCCGAACAGATTTAATGTGCATCAGCCCCGGCTACACGGCGGGTCTTTGGCGGCCAAGGAAATCGATCGATAGTTGAAATCCTCATACGAGGCCACATTTATTCCTTGGAATTTATACAGGGAGTCATGAACTAAAATACATTCTCTTCGTATATGTATTTACATCCCCCTAAGCAATAAAATCGAGATAGTTTTTTCATATTCCTGTTGTTCCATTTTGAAACCCTATATGATCTTTATTTATAGTTAATTTATTTCAATTTAAAATAATTGGTTTGGTTTTATTTACGTAGCGCTGGAAGCAACACGAGGGCTATTGACGACGGACCTCGTAATTTTGAGTGAATGAATGCAAAGTTTATTGGCGCAAGAGCCTGATATGGCTATGCTGCTCTAAACAATATTAAACTGTGGTCTAGACGTGAAGTTGAAAAAAAGGTAAAAGGTGGTTGATAAGAAGGAGAGTCGAAAATAGAGAAGGATCGCTAGGGTATCCCGGAGTTGCTTCACCCGTGTTTACCAAAGACAGTAAATCCCATAGGAACGAAAAAGAAAAAGTAATCCAGACTGAAGGGGGGGAAAAAGATGGAGGACTGTAATTCTGATTAATGTGGCAAATTCGAAATGGTAGCCCCGGCGAAAGCAACAAAAGTGATAAAAACATGATCAGAGGATTGTATAACGAAAAAAAAAAATATCAAGTGATCCGGAATCCGTATTCGTGTGGCAAATTCGAAACGGTAGCCCCGGCGAAAGCAACAACAGTTTTAAAAAAAATGGTTAGAGAAAGGTATAAATATAAAAAAAAGAAAGCACGTTACTGAAAATCGAAAATCATGTATCATATGCCTTATTCGAAAGGGTTGCCACGGCTAAAGCCACCGCAGAGGAGAGAAAGCATGGTAGCCACAATGGGCAAAATATCACCAAACAATTTCTGTCGCTAAGTGGTTACACTAAACTGCATTTCAGCCATTTATATTAATAAGGGAGTATATCTACTTCCTGAAAATATGTCCGAACTTTGGGACTCGTTCTTTAACATTAGCCGATAACAGCCTTTAACATTCTCATTGCTAAGTGCTTAACGCAAAGGCAAAATTAATTAAACTTGGAGAGGAGGGTTGAATAAAATACAGCATTCTCACAAGTATTCGAAAATCTTTTTAATAAACAGTATTACATCATAAAAGCAACATTTCTTGTTCGACACCAGTAAAACTTCTAAAGAACGTCATATTAAAATTATTGCAAAAAAATTTAATGGTTTAGAATAGCAAAATAATATGAATGATGCAAATAGCAAAGAACATTACATAGCCAACACAGATTTCAGTTTATTTTTAGTAATAAAAATGAATCCCATACATTAAGCAAATTTTTTAGCTATTTCGTAATTGTTTACTTACAAGTAATGAAAATTGATATTAAGCATCAAGTTCTTTCAGTTCATGAATATTATGAGTACTGTGTTTTTCATTAGATTTTTAAAATATAACTTTTCTATGACAATCTTACCACAAATTGACTGTTTTAATTAAAATAATTTTTTAAGAATAACGATTAAAGGAAATGTGTCAAGTGATCCATAAAATTATAGCATTTAGAAAAACAGAATTTACAAACTAAAGTGTCCTGCCAAATTTTTGTCAAGTAAAAATAATTATGCTCTAATTCACGCGAAATTGCCGATTCGTATTCCCTTTTATTTTCGATGGAATAATTTTTTCTGAACAGTTCTGTCTCTGATTCGTTCAAAGAAAATCTGTGATCAAAGATGTTACTTATATTTCGAACTCGATATACCCATTTGGCACCAAAAGGAGTTTCACCCAGTGTGCTTATTGAATGTTGTGTTGTAAAACAACGGTTAAACTCATCGCAAAATGACATTAAATTCTTGAAGCCTTTGACGTTGAAAACCTTCCAGAATATTCTTCTGTACAAGACATCGAAAAGAAATTCACACAAGCGCAGTATACGAAAACAAGTTCCTTCATCAAAACCGCGTGATACTATATGAGTCACGAAAGCTGCAACTAACAAAAAATTGTAGTATGTTGGCTCACCACATAACATTTCACAACGATAGAGATTGAATTCTATGCATCGTTTTTCCGAACCGTGTATGAAGCGCATATCTTCAAAGTGTCCGTAAAAAAATACATTAATCGCTTTTATCACCTTTGATACACTTGAAAGTGCATTATTTCTTAGAGGGCAGATACCACAGCATATTCGTAGGGGAATGCAAGTTATCATCACAGTTTGCAACAATAGGTATCGGATCACATATGAATATCTGTAATCTACGTCATCTATTTTTTCCAATGGCATAGAGTTTCTTTTTTCAGAATCCAATAATTGCATAGTATTCTTTTCAACAAGTATTTGCTTCGGAATATCAAGGTCCGAGGCATTTTTAGCTCGTTTGTTTTCTTCCATTTTACTTTCAATTTCGTGTTTCAAGTCGTAAAAGTTATGAAATACCGAAAGCGGAAAATAAATTAGCTCCTCACTGATTTGTATTGAGGAAACTGAGGTATCAAAAGTCACGTGGAAATGACGACATAAGCCCTGTAGCTGTTATGGTTACGTTAAACTTTGTGAGTGAGTGAGTGAGTGAGTGAATGTAAAGTTTATTGGCGCAAGAGCCAGATATGGCTATGCTGCGCCAAACAAGATTAAACTGTGGTCTAGACGTGAAGTTGAAAAAAAGGTAAACATGGTTGACAAGAAAGAGGGTCGAAAATAGAGAAGGATCGCTAGGGTATCCCGGGAGTGCGTCACCCGTGTTTACCAAATACAGTAAACCCCATGGGAAAGAAAAAGATCACTAAGGTGCCTCGGGGTCATGATGCCCGTACTTACCTGAAGAAGGCAAGTCCCTGAGGTCCCCTGATATAATCCCCAGGGGCAGGGTGCCTGGCTATACCCCCAGACGCTGGGTACCCATTTTAGTCGCCTCTTACGACATGCAGGAGCTACAGTGAGACTATTCTGTTATCCCCGGTCACCACACGGGTCTTACGTTAAACTTTATGACAGTTAAATGTGCATACAGTTAAAACCACCTTCAACGAAAGTAATCTGAACGAAAATAGCCAAGTCAGAACTTCGTAGAAAATGAGCAGCTGCCTCCTGATTGGACGAGCGCCATCACCCTGTATTCCCCCACCCCTATGATCATAGCACTAGCATCTTTTCTAATCCATTAAATACTTAATATCCTTTAAAATTTTAACTTATACAGGTAATAATTTTTGATTTCTAAATTTTCTAATTTATATAAGCATCCAAATTAAACATGGCATGGATATTATCAGGTTTAACTTCAGATATGGAGATATGGCTCTAATAAGCTAGGTGCTCCTGCGAAGCAGTTTCACTAAGAACGAAAATAGCTTTTCTGCTTGGAGGAGGGCGTGGGCTATCTAAAAGACAGACCATCCTACAGTAGTGGCATTCCGACAGTGGCAAACAGATCTTTTACAAAACATAAATGAACTTTGTTCAATATTTTGCTTGATTTCAAAATAAATATATGCTTCAAGATTTTAGCTTATGCATTTCGAATTTATTTTGTGCGAACTACTTTTGGTCGATTGACGTGTTTTAAATGTTTTTGAAGCAACAATAAACTGTAACAGTGCGATTTTACGAATTTCGGAAAAAAATTCGCCGTAATTACAAAGTGAGGTTTCGAATTTCTCATTAATGGTAATTTGAAATCTGTAAATCAGAATTTGATCAGAATAACGAGTTTCTTTTTTGATTTGGATCCATTTACACATTCTCAGTACTTTTTGTTTAAAGACATGAAATGAAAAAAAAAAGAAAGAAAGAAAGAAAAAGGAGGAGAGTTAAATTTGAAATGGCTTTACATTTTATTAAATTCCTTCAATTTAAGTAAGTATTAAATTATTACTGACTACATAATAAATTTCTATCTAAATTACGGGATTCAATCTCGCATAATGAATTTTATATCATCAAATAAAATTTACTGCTCAAATTATTAATAACATATGTATGTGCGAGAGTGGGATTGCATACTAAAGCAGCACGGAGAAGCTACACGGGGGTTTATTTGAGACGTAATTTGTAATTTTGAACCTCGGTCAAATAACGAGGACAACAGTTGAGCTAGCACCTCCTTCTCCTAACTTCTACACCACGTCAAAGAGTGGATTTCAGACCTAGACAGATTTAACGTGCATCATCCCCACTACATGGCTTAAAATAAAAATATATATATATGTTGTATTTGTGCATATTTTTTTAAATATTACACAAACTCGTATGAAATGTATAAAATGAAAAAATACCGGTAACAGCCATACCATGCAGGAAGCAACGGTTCTCGTCCAATCACCTAAGATAAGCCTCCCGGAATACCCTGGCGATCCTTCTCTATTTTCGACCCTCCTTCTTGTCAACCACTTTTTGTCTTTTTTTCAACTTCACGTCTAGACCACATTTTAATATTGTTTGGCGCAGCATAGCCATATCAGGCTCTTGCGCCAATAAACTATACATTCACACCGAAGATAAGCATCATCGGGCGTGGTCAGTACTTGGGAGGGTGACCACCAGGGAACTCCGCGTGTCGTTGGCATCAGTTTTGTCAAGGTAATGGACGGGGGACAGGATACGGTGTTTTGTATTGCATCGGATCTCGTTTTGCATTTACGTGACCATTTGGAGGGGATAGCTTTGAAAGAATTGTTTTTGATTAAAGAATTAAAAATTGTTTAATTTTACAATTTTTTTTTTCTCTCATTTCTTTATTGAGCGGGGGAAGGGGGATCGTGTTCTATACGAAACACTGCTAACGGTTTGTACGGAATATGATTGACTCGTTTAAATACTAAGAGACGTCTATACCCTCTTCCTTCGTCCGCTCTTTGCATTTTATCCTGATATGCTTCCTGCTCACTTTTTCATTAATTTCTTTTTCAGATGCGTGTCTTAAAGTATTCTTTTATTGTCATTTTCTTATCACTTCCAGTGGCATTTCAATACAAAAAATACTATAAAAGTAAAAGTCTTGACTGCGATTATTACAGACGGTAAATTCATGTAATGAAGAAACACAAACAGAATTGGTTTGCAAATGCAGATATACTTGCACTAATTTTTTTTTTACTTTTGTATACATTTCTTGCAGTTCTGCACATTGATTTATATGTATGAATTAATTATTATTATTATTATTTTTTTTGCTATGTTGATCACATGATCTGACATTTATACATATATTTTTTGCTCCTCTTCTTTTTTGAGTGATTGCTAACTATTCGATATTATTTTCTGGCTCCTTTCTGGACCAGATTCCATTTCATACTAATCAGATTCCATTCTGATTTGTCCACATCATACGACTAATTTTAAATTTTTTAGATCATTTCGTATTTTGTTTGTGACTGTAATGTGTTGTTTAACTTACATTTAAATGTCACACACAAATTATATAGAAAAAAAATTACAATGCTTATTTTCAAAACTATCTTTATTATTGTTATTATTCTACCTTTTTCTAGCATGCAAAAAAAAATATTGTAGTTAATGATTAACGCATTGAAAATAAAGGATGAAATATCTCTTGTTTAACACGTGAATTCTATTTCCGTGCCCGACAATAGATTTCCAATCCCGTTCTAACAATGGAATTTCTTTCCAGTGTTTAACAATGGAATTTAAATCCGTTGTTTAATCAACGAATTATTCTTCTCTTATATATTTATTTATTAAATCTATGGAATTATTTGAATACCTTTTTCCTGTGAAGAATTTGTATTAATTTTTCAAATTAAATGTTTTAAAATTTAATTTTTTATGCATTTTTCTCTGTATCAAATTATGTCTATCACGTTTTTGAAGCTTTTATTTACTGTGAGTTTGTGTAGTGTAAAGAAT